CTAGGCGGGATCCTGGCGCTTTAAGGGCTTTGGTAAATCGTTAAGATTGGCGAAGAATGGGTCGATACGAACAACCAAAAGGCAGAGCTGCGGGAAAGCAAACGCCCACGGACATATTTCACAGCCACCTAGCGCAGAGTCCACGAAAAGTTCCTCTAACAGCTGCGGCCGGGGACGGGACACAAGACTGCACCGCAATTTACCCAAAAGGACGAAAAGAGGAGCAAACCAACAGCTCTGCGGCTGTGCAAGATGATCAGTGGAGCAGCACACGCAGGAGGTGAGCAGCAACACATGTGAATTACCACCCACTGCATCACCAGCTGGCAGTAGTTAAACCTCCTCGAAGATGTGACCACAGCTGCAACTTCTCTTGAGATACACATGCAGGGTTTGGTTTCTCCCTCTTTTTTTTTTTTAAAAAGTTATCCATGAAACAGAATGAAGAACATCCTTTCTTCCTCAAAACCAGAGCGTTGCTGTGGTCATAAAGTTGTTTTTCATTCCATTTTGAAGATTCTTCGAATTCAGACCTTTTAGTGGCTGAGGTTAGGAAAGCTGTTCTCCTCAGTTCGTTATAATGATTAACAACACCCAGGGAACTACTGTATCAAATGACATCAGGAAGCAACCAGAATATAACAGATCAATAATTTTTGGAAAATCTTTGGATGTGCAAATGCTTCCTTCTCCGAGTGACAGAGTGTGGTGTGATGCAGTGTGTGCAGACCTGCTGAGGGCAGAGCCTCTGACAGCAGCAGGGAAGGTTACTGTGCTGCACGTAACGCTTCCGAAGCCATTAAGGTGCAGTTTGTCATTACGCTTGGTCAGATTTGGCCGACAACCATATGCTGCAGAATAAACTACTTCAACAAAGCTGATGCATGCAGGTAACAGGCTGGGATCAGGCTTTGCTGTGGGATCAGGCCCTTGAACTGAGAGGCTACACAAGGGAAACAGAAACTACACAACCGGGGCTGCTCCCTGTGGAAGTTTGTAGCTACACCGGACACAACGGTAAGTAAAAAAAAACGGCAGCTTTAGAGCCAGGCAGCATCAGTATACAGTAGATGCTTTCCTTTACCTGCCAAATACCATTTTTGAGGGGCAGAGCATTGAACAGAGGTTCCACACTCATGATTTATCTTTAAATAATCCTATAAAAGTGAGAATTAATCCAATAATTAGTATTTAATATGGTATTGCACGTGCTCCACACTGCCATAAGGTGTTTCAGATTTATCCCCTTGCCATGCATCTAGTCAAAAACTCCCAGTAAGAAGTACCACATGATAAACCTCTAGTCACAGAAGAAAGAAATCAATAGACCCCGTGGGTACTGCCTGCTTCAGGAACACTGTCAGCCTAACTTGAGTGTGGCAGCAAGATTTATTCACCCCTTTTAAACAAGGTGAGCAGGTTCCAGCCAACAAGACTCATCCAGATAGTTATTTGGTGAAGCAGAAGACAGTGTAGAGAGCTTCCTGACCTAAGAAGGAAGCCTTTTTTTAAGATGCATACCGATCATCAGTCTGTTTAGCAGTGAACTAAAGAGCATGTACAAAAATGCTGCTGTCGTAACCACTCGGGCAATAAAGGGTTCAGTAGCAGCGGATGATACTGACATAATTTAACAGTTTACTCAAGTTTGAAGGCCAGGTTTGTTTCTGTAATTGAGCAAATTCTGCCTAAGCAAGCAACTTTTACAGAAGCTGTATAATGCCACAAAAAAACATCTCTGTGGGGCTGTACTCTGCCAGGAAGACACAGGCTGACAGTACATCCAGAAACACTTGCAAGCTCCAGGAGCAGCCTGGCACAGGGGCACGTTCTGGTGCCTGCAGTCACCTGAGCCAACGAAAAACCTCACCCTCCACACTGGGCATTTTGCAAAGGGAGAACTAAGCACACCTACTTGCCCAGCTCCCTACTACACAGGACTATAGCCAGTATAGCCAAGACAAAAGAGTCACTTCAGAGCGTGAGTGTTCTGAATTTTCCAAATTGTCTACTTTGCAGATCTCGCTCTTGCTATCTGAGTTGATTTCCATGCCATAAACTAAATCAGCTCACTACATCAATGTATTTCTACTTGTCCTACAGCACAATTAAGAGACATCTAAACAAACATGCCCATGCCATTTATTTCTCAGAAACACCAGAAACAAAAGGTCAAGTTATCTTCTGAGAACCTTCTTGGTTTGATGAGCAAACAACTGCTGGTAGAATACTCCAAATGGAAGATGTTTCCAAGACTGTGGCCAATACTGCATAGGCTGTTTTTGGACATGTGAAGCCTGGTGCAGAATCCCATCTTGTGACCTCCCAAAGGCAGTCTCGTGCACTGGTCAGACCTTCCATGAAGGCTGTAACTGTGCTTTAGGAGAACTTCCCTGCCTGAGGTGGCGGGCCAAGGAAGCCCCCTGCTTGCTTGGTGGCAGCCCGGGAAGGAGCAAGACCGAGCATCTTCTGGATGTTCTGCAAAAACAAGAACAGAAGAGCAGGATAGTGTCAGACTGCAACGAGGGAGACAAAGAGGAAGAAATCCCAACTCTGCTTACAAGTACAGCCTTCCCACTAGTTTCAACAGACTCAGGTTCTCACCCACATGAGCCTTACCAACCTGGCTACTATATATTGGACCTCTATCCCTATATATTCAAAAAAGCTTAGTAGAGCCAGACAACCATCCACAATGGCTACAATTAGAGCTGGGCCACTCTCCCCCACCCCAACAAAAGCCTTCTGATCATTAAATCCACATTTGGGTTGAGGATTCTTTTCCACCTCCAGCTACACACCACACAGTCAGCTGGCAGGTACCTCGTTAATGTCTTTGGACACAGGCTGGTTTTAAAAAAAATCAACCTACAATAGTTATCTTCGCAATTTAACTGCAGTGCACACACAGGAGCAGGTTCCTACCATCTGCTCACAGGCAGAACCAAAGCAACCCTCTCTCTTCACAAGTTCCAGAAACCCCTGTTGATGGCAGCCATCAGAGCCTGAGGGTCTGCAAGCTGACAAGGAAAGCTCTCTCCTAATACAGACGGAATTTGGGTCAGCAACATGGCAACCAGAGCACGTGCCAAGTTCACGTCAGGAGCTTAGACACAGAATTAACATGAATGCTAGTGATGCAGACTGAACAATGGTTTGCTGGAGACACGCAGTGTAACAGGACATATGTAGCAAAACCCAAAAACTGTTTACTGAGATGACCTCATCTGCATCTGAGCAGGGTGTTTCAGTGGAAAACAACAAACAAGGGAAGAATTAAGTAGCAGAGCCAGGCATTAGCTAAAAATCTCACAGCAGAATATTTAAAAGTTTGATGTGTGTGTTGATTTTTGTGAAGTTACTTTTAAATTTTGCAACAGTGCCACTACAAAGAGCTACCAGTTCTTTCAGTTTCATCCTTCACTGTAAATAACTACAGCTCAAGATGCTGCCATGCAGTGCTGGCAAAACAGGGACATCTGATGCGAGGGAAAGAAGAAAACAACTGTGTCCCCCTCATGTTACCAGCTGAGTTCTCCAGCTATTGAGACAACAAAAGGAGGAGGGAGGATTCTCTTCAAACCTGAGTGTCCTCTCCAAAACAACTGTCAGGACAGGTCAGATAGCAAGGTCAGAGTTCTTGAACTTTTTCATCATGGAAGGAGAACAAACTAAAACAAAAGGCAGACAGAGCTTCATAATTCCAGAGTAGCTAAGTTAAAGAAAAAAAATTGGGAACCATTCCAGGTGGAGACTATGGAAAGGGAGGTTTCAGCCCACACACAAGCATGAAAGTAAAGGAGGGGAACACTTGAAAAAGGAATTACATCAGTTTTAGTCCATGGCCTACATAAATCAGCCACTGGCTGATATTCAGCAACTGAATATATATAAGAGCATTTCACTGTGGGAAACTCCTCCGTGGGGTTCCTCTTCTCAGAGCTTCCTTATCAAGAGGTGTACAGAAGAGAGAAAACAAAAGAAGCTAATGGACAGCAACACCAGAGGGTGCTGCAGAGTCAGCAGCAGGCAGGACCGGGATCCTACTAGCTTTGTACTGGCTCACCCGTGGAGCAGAGTAGAGATCCTAGCAGAGCATCCATGGAAGCAAGTAAGTGTGCACTGCCTCCTCCCTGTTCCTTTCAGTATCAAGAGAGAAGAGAACTGTGGTGCTAATGTTTACTCCATCTGCTTGAACAGTTCCAAGAGGAAGAGAGATGACAGCTTGTCTGTATGTGGATTCAAGACTACAGTCACTGTCCAGCATTATCCTTCCATAGTAGTCCCTCCTTGGTGTGGAAGGCAGCTAGCCTCCCGCACTAGCTGCAAAGCAAGTTTTGCTGGACAGCAATCCTGAAGGCTACACAGCTGGGAACACCAGGGCTGGGGCAAGGTCCAGACAGACCTGTCCTGTCTGCTTGTGCACCACGTTGCAGAAGGAAGCCTGCAGAGTCTACTTCCAACACAAACAAGACCATCACCTTCAGGAGCAGGGAGGGAAGACTGTAAGACTTAAGGATCCAAATTCCTCATCTGAGTTCTTCTGAACTCTCCTCAGATGACTGCAGGAAGGACAGGAGCTGCTTCTGCTTTTGTCTTCAAACTCAGAAGGGGCCTCAAAGACAAGGCAGCAAGTGACTCCCTGCCCCAAGATCAAGCCAGTGTACTGCACTCCTGGCAGCAGGGATAATTGCTGGCTCCCTTTCCCACTAGGAACACATTTCAGAGAGAAGCAGCCTAATCTACAGTTCAGGCATGTGTGAAAAGGAAATGAAGACCAGCAAACGCCTGAGGAACAGCAGCACATTCCTCTTCACAAACAGCACAGGTGAAGGCTGGGAGCTCAGAAACAGGAGCAGGGACAGAGGATGTAACCCTGACATTATGCCTCCCGCCCAGCCCAGCAGCAGACTTTCCCAGCTGAAACCCAACAGCTCAAGGACCCTAGGAAGGCCTCTCCCAGCAACCCTCCTCTCTCCAAACAGGAAGGCAGGAGGAACTAGGAGACAGGATTTACGTGCCAGAGAGAGCTGGGAACAGCGCAAAGGAAGTTACTCACTGTGAGTTGACTATTTTGGGAGACAGTGTCCAGGTCACAGACAGCAAGCTTCCCAGTCCATGTTTGAAGAGTTTATCACCTTCACATGCTTGAGGACTACATGAAGAGACTGCCTGATGCTGCTACTGCCCATCCCACTAATGTCAGTTTAATCACCGTCCAGTTAATCTCCCCACTCTCACATACTCCCCTGCATTTCCCTCCAGGTCACATTTTTTTCCACACACACAAGAGTTCCTCTACTTCTGAGCTCTATAGGGACATCTCTCTTCCCTGCCCTTGATCCCTTCATCGGCAGCTCCAGGATTTAAGGGAAGGCTGAGGGATGTATGGTCTCCTTAGTTTGTTCACAACCTGTTCCCTGACTTTTGGTACACCTCCTCTCCTCCTCCTGTGTCAGCAGCATCAAGCCAGACACTAACTCCCACATCAGTTCTCCTCTCTTGGGCTAACAGCTGTTTTGAAGCTGACCTGGTGAGATTTCCCCTTTTGCACACAGTGAAACACAAAGGGTCACAAAGCTTTCCCTTCCAAGGTCATCCAAAGCACCTAAAGCAAGTCTTTGGCACCATTTTAAGCCCTTAATTACTTTCTTCCCCTTCCCCGGCCTCTCACAGCCCTTCAAAGTCCTCTTCCCAATGCTGTTATCAGTTCTTTCAGATAGTAATAAAGCCAAGAGCAGGATGCCAGCAATCACAGCTTCAGTTCCTAGCTTTTGCACAAACTAATGTGGCTGGTCTCTGCCCTTCCCCCCCGTGTAGCAAGGAGGAAGAAACTGAGCTGCCTGACAGCTGGAGAACTGCAGGTACAGTTCACCACGATCACGTAGATAAGGCAGCACTACGAAGACTGCAATCTAACACTTCAGAGCAAAAACACCCTTCTCCAAAGCAATAAAGTAACTTCCATCCTCCACAGGGCCATCCTCATGATCTCTCAAGCACAAGGGCAAATTTCTCCAGAATTTCTCTTGAAAGCCCAACCCACTGCAAAGAGCTCAGCATTTCTGCCCAAAACCAGACTGGACCACCACTCAGTTCAAACCGCCTACTGATTTCACAATAGGAAACATCAGGAAATGCCCAGGACTTAGAACTAACCACAGGAATTATATTTTTGGACAAAAAAAATCCAGGGGGGATTTTTCAGCAAGGGAGTTCCCCAATCAACCCAATGGGTGCAGAAAAATCTTACTGACGGTGCTATTTAGTTTCATATAATAACCTGCAACACTGGAAAGAAGGGACTTTTCATGTAACAGGTGCGTAACACAGAGCAGCACCAGACAAGATTGCCTGAAGGAACAGCATCAGACCACAGCATCCCAGGAATTCGGGAAGATGATCCTAAGAACTAAAAACGTCTAATTTCTTTCAAAGCAGCAAATACTGCTCCAGTTCCTGGGAAGTGAAACAAGATTTGTCTTGCAGCAAACAGAATGAGGAAGCCCCTGGCCTTTGGTACTCTGAAGCTGGCCCTGCTTGGAGTGAGGGGTGGGCCAGATGACCTCCAGGTGACCCTTTCAACATAAATTATTCTATAATTCATTATCTGCTTTCGCATAGGACCAGAGACAGACCCATTTCAACACAAGCACCCAATATGGAGGGCTATGGAGAATTCGATTCGCTAGCATGCACTTTGACTAAACGAACTCTATTATTAAGCTGCTCCATCAAGCTCATCCAAACTGCTGACAGCAGCTGGCATAACACACCACTTCCCTTTGCTGATCTGCTTTAAATCTTTAAGTCCCTTTGCACCCCTGAGGAAAAGCAACAAGTCGGTCAAGGAGAAAAGCAGCAAGAATTTAGGCAGTGAATCAAAGAAAAAGGAAATACAAATACAGGAGAGCAGATAATTTGCAGCTAGTTGCACCAGCATTCATCCAACCCCCAGAGTCTATTATCTTATCCCCAGCACTCTCTGGAGAAATTTGGCAAAGTAGACTTCTGGTTGCACTGAAAAGGCCCACTTGTGCTCACCAGCCATTCTGCCACTTAAGCTGCTAGTGAACCCTCCTGAACAGGCACTTCCCTTACCCTCACTGATGCTTCTCTTTTCAAAAGATGGGACTAACCAGCTTTGCTGGGGAGCTATGTGGAGCCTGCTCTTGCCTTATCATACCAGACTCCCTTTCTGTGTCACGTCCCTAACACTGGGAGAGACTTGACACCAAAGGTAAAGTTCTTAAGACTCTGAAAAAAATCAGGCAGTCAGCAAAAACAGGAAGGACAAACCCAAAAGAACAGGCTTAACTCTTTCCTCACTTTTCTAGCAAATTTATGGACTGATTAAACCTTCATAGAACCTCAAGCCACCAAGAAAGTTTCCCCTGAAGACACTACGCTTCTCTTTTCTCATATTACTGTAAAAGTCATAATTACTAAGAAGCAGTACTTAAATTGTCTCCATCAGAAGCCAATCTCTTGGTCTGGCAATCCACAAAATTATCAGACATATACACAAGGAAGGAAGCCATTTCTGCCAACTCTGTCCTAGCATCCTGGTGCAAGTCTCCAGTCAAGTCTTCCACACCGGTCCAGGATAGTGGCTGTTTTTATGATCCCAACCTAGAATTGCTTTGAATATGAAGCACAGGAATGAAGGCAAACACAGAAACCACAAACAGATCAAAGATTATACATACAAAACTGGACAGCAGTAATAGACTCCTCTTTATGGACTGAGATGTGCTTTCCCTGCTCCAGGTACACAAGAGACACAGCAATGTACTCACCTGTCTGATTGACATTGTGCAGAGAATGTAGAGGAAGATGAAGGAGCAGTCAGTGTAATCCTCACCCAGAAGGTTGCGGTGGGAGAGACCTTGGATATACGAGAGGGGGATAAATGGAAGCTTTGCCACCACTCGGCCATCAAATCTGGAAGAGAGTGCACTGGATCACAACTGGGGACAGTAAAAGAGTCTTTGGCTACAGAAAGAACAAGTGAGCATCTTCAGCAGGCCACCAGAGCAGATAAGGCCACATGGAAGGCTAAAAAGCCATGCTGCCTTCTCCAGCCCACCTCGATATAGACTACACCACCGAGGCTAAATACACCTCTCACAAAGCCCTCCGCACCCAATCATCCAGAGGGTAAGTAGGCTTCCCTCAATAACAGTTTTGCCATAGTCAGAGCCAAAGTATTTCATAGTGATTTAAGTGATCAGCTGGACAAGCTGTTGGTTCATAAAATCTTTGTTGGTGTTTTGCAGTTTACTGGTGCATTTTATTTAAAAGCCAAATTTAGCAGATAACTTCCCAGAACACAGCCAGCACTTGAATAAAAGATGGGTGACTATCACCCCGCTGTATTGCAGTTAATGCAAGAAGATGGACTCTTTGCTTTAAGCAAAAGAGCATTTTTTAAGCAGAGAATAAACCAAAGGCACCTTTTTCTTTCCTACAGCAGCTATACTTCTCAGCACAAGAAGGATGCATAAGAGAGCCATCAACAGAATGCTTTTTAATACCAGTCTTCTCTGCATTAGCTCTGAAGACAAAGGCAGTGCAGAGGCAGGATGATACCACACATTCCAAGTGGCCTGTCCTGCTCCTGGAACTCCTCCAGGTCCACATTCCAGGGCATCAGGCAGAGTGTGAATTCTGGCCAGTTTGCAAAGATCTCTCCCAACCCAGATAGTCGACCCCATCTTTTGAAGTAAGTGTGTATGATGCCTCATCAGCATGTGCATATTTGGATGTTATTTTCTCTGCATGTGCTGATTTTCTAACAGGTGTTTCTTGTTTCAAGAGATCCTAAATGAGCGTTCTTTCCTGTGGAGATGCATTCACACAGCTACAGCTCAAACACACCAACTTTGTTTACATCTCACAGGCAGTTTGGCAAAAGAGCTAGGAACGGATGTTTATCTCCCAGTAACATCCCCCAGTGGCTTAAAATTCTGCATTATTCGTGACAAGTACTTCAGCAGTAGCACCCCGAGGTACCTGCTTTTAATTCCAGCAGGTTTTCACAGTTATCATGAAGGGGTACTGAAACGCACAGCTCCTAGAGTAAGACAGAGAATTGATTGCATTAAAAAGTTTCTGACAAGAGAAAATCGAGACACATACAAGCCAGTTCTTCTCCCAGGAGAAATCCTATCTGCTTGGAGGCCACCACCGCTACAGATCTCACTGCCCTAGCGTACCTTTTAGGCCACAACAGTCATTCAGCTGCTCATCTTCAGCACAGCATTCTGCTCTTTGGGTTTAAGCCAGCTGTCTTGACACTTACATATCCTTCCAGCATGGTCCACCCTGCTGCCCCATTACTACTGACACTCTAAGAAAAAAGAGCCAGTCATCACAGTAATTTCCATTTTGGCTAAGCTGGCACTTGGCAAAGGTGAGGTGCCCAGCCACAGAGTAGCAGCATCTGCATAGTACTTGTCCAAAGGGCAGCACATCATGCTACTTCAATGCAATTCCTGCTCCTTTGTCCCCCAGAGCAATGAACTCATTCAAGAACAGGAAAGGCAAGCAAATGAGGCTACAGCCATTGCAGGTGTCAGCCACCCTCTTCCTCCTTTTCATACCACACCCACAGCACCTCCATGGATGACCTGGCAGTAGCAGCTTCCCAGAGGGAGCCCAAGAGCCTCCTGAATTCATAACTGAAGTACTCTCCTGAGACAAGCAGCTGCTCTTTATGCTATATCAAGAGAATGACACTACATAGGTGAGAATCAGCTCCATCAAACCATTCTATCAGCTTCAAACAGTGCGAGTACAACCCACCAAAGCTGCCATTCAGATACGAATGCACTAGCTACCTTGTACTGAGACCAGGAACAAAAATTTAACTATCTAGCCCCAAAGGCAAGACAGCCAAATCTTTAGATTTTAATTCAATAGCCTCAGCTATTAGCAAGAAAGCTATTTCAATTCAAACAATCAGTGAGCTCTCTCGATACTCCTGCTGTTCATGTTCAGGTTCCCTCTAAAGAAAGAGACAGTTAAAGGAAAGATATGCCCAAAGGCTTCATATCAACTCTGTGGCTTGTAGCATGGTCTCTCTGGGTAGGAATCCTCAAAAGAGGAACAAGACAAGTAAACTTGGTGGTCTTAAAGGAGAAGAAACCAATAAACTGATTTTTTAGGCTAATATCTCTGGAAGGAGGAGCCACACAGGATTTAACCAAAATCAATTCATTCCTAAAGCTCTTAAGGAACTTAAGTCTTTTAACACTTGTCAGTCCTAGCATACTCTGAACTGCCTCTTTCGACTCTAGGAAAGTGGGCAGAATAGGGTGAGGTTTTTTAGTTGGTTTTTTAGTTTGTTTTTCAGTTTGTTTCAGGGGCAGAGGTGGTGGTGGTGTTTGTATTGCACCCAAATAGCTAGGCAAGCACTTGGAAGGCCTCAGGTGCAGCGCTATAAGTCCCCCACAGACACTACGTTGCTGGGCACATGACTCACAATGCCCCTCCATCCCTGTTCAGGGCTGCAGTGAAAGGAGACATTAATGACTCAAGACTGTACCCAAATTTTAAAGTCCTTTATTGCTGTGTTCCTCTGCTTAGTTTCGCAGCATTCCAGAGAATGCTAGATGCTGAAGTCTAAGCTGAATAGAGAGTCCACACAGTGGCACTTCTGTTACTATGTCACCCCGTTCGCAATTTATCCACCCACAGATCTGCTGTAAAATAACAATGGACTGTATCCTGGGGACTGCCAGCACAGAGGACAAAGGTTTTGGTGCCCAAGAATGTAAATTCCTGTTTGCAGGGCAAGTATATTGCCCAGATATTAAGCAGCCTCCCAAAGGTTGTACTATCCATATTCATGTTATCTTCAGACTTAACAGCCAATGGGAAGTTCACATTTCAAGACTGAATCAAGTTTCAAAAGTCAAGCAGAGTCTTTCAGTTTTGCATGTCTGCAACAAAGCTGTCTATAACCATGCAAACCAGTCTGGGCTTTTTGTCTTTGTTTTTTTAAAACTAGACCTATCCCAGGTCATTTTTAAAGCAAAGGAAGATTACAGCCCATGCCTGGACCTGTTAGTATCTTGACTCTGATCACTTTAAGTAGGGCAACAATGAACTCTGCAATTACAGCTCATTTCTAAGGGCAAGGGAGCTGACCCAGTTTTGTGTGCAAGAGCATTTTTTGGTCACACTATTATAGCAAAGCCAGAAAAGCTGAAGACTGTAGCTGCTTGCCTGACACCTACCAAACTTGCCCTTATCGAGATGTTCCCAAGCAGAAAGGATGTTACAGTTGTGTCTAGATTGAATGCAATTTGTTCAATTTGATTGCATTTGGCATGCAGTGTTCCCTCTTGAGCAGAACACGTGTGTGGTGACCAAACAACCGCATCTTCGTATGAAATATGATCCATTTTATACCGATTAGTTATGGTTCTTGGATAGACAACGTCACTAACACTTCAGGTGATAGAGGGAAGGTGGAGAATATATTCACCATGAAAGTTTAAGAAAAATCCAGGAAGTTGATACTTACATGGAGTTAAACATTCCCATCAAGGCAGTGAAGCAGAAGCCAATGGCAAACATGGATTTCATCCGAACCTGCAAGCAGAAAGGTCAGAGACAATCAAAACAACAGGCCTACACTGAGGGATTATGGGCTCACACTCTCAAGAACAGGCTTTGTACAGCCTCACTGGAATCTAGAAGGAAAAGAGGTGACCCAGAAGGCCAGAGGGACTGTAAAAGTGACTGGAGAACTCTCAAAGAGAAGTCTGGTCAACAGATGGGTACAAAGGCAGCCACAGAGTGGACCACTGATGTGAAGAGCTGCTTCAAGGAAAAAAAGAAGTGCTCACGAACTATCCTGTTACCTTCCACAGGTTGGGTTTTTTCCTTAAGCCTATACAACCAATCAGCAGGAGATCATTATGAAGACAGAACTTACAAGAGGAAGTCAGACAAATTAATTACTTTGAAAACATCGTGGAGACTTATAAAGATGAAAATAGCCAAGGTTGGGCATGAGATGGGGCAGTAACTGCTGGAGAACTCTGTGGCTCATACTAAAATCTGTAGCTATTAGAGATAATCCAGAAGGACCTCTTAGGAGGAAAAGCTGCTATGTCTGCCAATTGAACAAAGTCTTTCTGTTGGAAAGTTGACTGAAATCTTCAGCAGTCAGGAACCGGCTTTAATTTTCTTACCATTGACAAGTCTCTGTTGTTATTCTTCAGTTTCTCTTCTTGTCTCTCTGGAAAGAGAAAAACAACAACAGTTATAATCAGTTATACCAACCTAGAAACCAGAATGTTGTCATTTCCAGGAAGACTTAACCTTCTTGGCTCTCCAAACAAACAACACTTCCAAAACCAACTCCAGCTCTCTATGCCAGACAGTAGAAAGTGAAAAACTACACATAGGCAACTGCTTCTCTACCACAGCAACATGCAGCAAAGCAGGCACAAAAGAGGAGGAGGCTAGAATCACACATTCAGCCCTTTTGAAAGAAATGCACAGAATGTCAAATTTGCTAACTCAACGAACTAAGACAGTAGCATGAACAATGTTGCCAGAAAACAGAGACAGTGCCTCTATATCACACTTCCGAAAGAGAGCAGTCTCAATTTGCTGCACACCAGGCCCACCATTATAAATACATTATATAAGAAAGGATTTCATTTCGGAGGTGTCAGAAGGGACTCCGAAACCGTACACAGAGCCAGGAGCCGCACCTCAGCAAGGCTAATATCCTGCTGGTCTTAGTAATGAATTTTGGAGTCTTGTTACACCTAGAAGATTCTCCAAAGACGAAAGATATTTTCTACATGAATTTCAGTAATGCATGTATTACTATGCTTTGCAGAGAATACTTTAAAACACTACTTTGGAAATTTAGTCTGTCCTTAAGCCACCACAAACTTTAAAGATGCCCAGTTTTCTGAGAGGGCATTTTCCATGCCCCTCATTGGAGGACTGCTCTGTCCTTGAGCATTATCCACCATCTGTCACCTTTCTTATCCCACATCCCCATCATCCCTTGTCCACTACGCTCCTCTCAGACTGAGGATTCAGAGGGGCAGCCAGGGCTTGGAAGCAACACCTAGGTGAAGTAAGGATGTGGACGATGAAGAAATATCCAAAGAACAGTGTGAGTGAAGAGATAGGGAGATGCAGAAGGACTGTCAAGGGCTATCCAGCATGCGATTTGTCCAGTGGATCCCTGCTGAAGTTTCAGTACAAGAGGCCCATGGCACAGAAGCTCAACAGTTATCTTTCAAGCCGCTGCTAAATACAGGGACTCGCAGTAAGCATTATGAAAAGCAATAGCAACACCCCTATTCAATTTCTTAGCATCCTCATTGCTATTTTCAATTGCTCCTAACTACAAACCACCCACTCTGGCAGGAGCTTTCCAGACATCTGCTTCCTGACCCAGGTGGAGAGTTTTGTTCTGGGACATTTCAGCAACCACAGGCCAGCTCTTTAAGAATCACATTTGGCACAAATACTTGTTTTTCTCCCTCCGCTACATAACTAACCATCTATTTAGATAGGCTAAAGGTTACACAGGGATAAAGAATACAGCCCTGATCCCCCAATATACTTGACCTGTTTCTCACCCATTTGTACAAATTCGAAACAAACAGGCTCCGGCTGTCCTACCACCTTACATAAATGGTCTGCTGAAGTCACACATAAGCAGCCTTTAGTACTTTGCTGTACAGCTGGGTAAAGGCACAGAGAAAGAGGACTGGGTCAACAAGCAGCACTCCAGAGTCCAAAGACATCTTATTCTGCTCACTGGAACACAAACCATGCGGATACAGCAATAATCTTATTTGCCAGCATTGGGGTTTTTTTTGTTTTGTTTGTTTTTCTTTTGCTATCTACCCAGCACTCATGTGGACTCCTGGGAATGTCACTATCTTTTCTTCTAGGGGCACGTGGATGCAGAAAGCAGTAGCAAAGTTTAAGCTAACAAACGCACTCCTTAAGCTGAAATGACAGAAGGCTGCACCATGATGTTAAAGGTGTCCTGTTCCAGCAGTGTGAAAGGTGATTTAGACACAATGTGACTGAAGTTGGTTCACTTCACACTTAAAAATAACAAGTTTGATAAGTAGGGAACACCAAATTAAGCCTTCCCGTGCAACTTTCACCCTACCTCCTTGTGCATATGCATGATTCATCCCTTACGTAACCAAGTAATATCATAAACACACCTCCGGCCTTATTCTGCACACAAAACAGATGGTAACCGAGGCAGGTCTGTACCATCTGTAAAGCCTCGGCTCTTTTTTTTTTTTTTTTTAAACTAGAATAGTAGAATTTAAAGGAACTCCAGCACAAGTAAATTTGCTGTTACAACAATGCTACATCTTGCAAAATGATTTGACATCCAGTAAGTTACTGGGATCAGAGACTTCAAAAGCAGTTAACAGCTGTGAGTCATTTTCTGGATGTCCAGCTTGACATTTAGGGCCTGATTTTTCAGAAACACTAAGAATTCAGCTTTGCCTGAAAACAAATGAGACACTGAAGATATGCAGCACTTGCAAAAAAAAAAAAAAAAAATTCAGTCTCAGTATCTTAGGCTTGGCCAGCAAGCATCACAGCAAACAAAATCAGTGGTCATTTCCTAAGTTCTGTTCTTAGTCCCTTTGTGCTTTGTTTTTCATTTGCAAAACAAGATTATTTCAGTGTATAAAAAAAAACTGGTGGAGCATCTGAATTCCTCAGATTCTACTGTTTATTAGTTTAGTCCAAACACAAGTAAAATATTCTCTGCTAGGAACATAGCTTGGATGGTGCCCTGCAAAAAAGTCATTGCCATACATGTGACCACATGTAACAACAGCACATAACATTAAAAAGTTGCCTTATCCACCAAGCAGTATTCATCCCATGCAGGGATTATTCAAGATTTAAGAACCGAAAATGCACAAGAGGAAGAGTTTTGGCTCCTGTCCCTTCAGGAGTCTAATGATAGCAGGTTTTATACCTAGGAAGAACTGTTTGAAGATATGTTTATAATTATTCCTAAGCTTTGTACAGATCAAATGACTAATCCAGCTACCTGGTGTTACAGAAGAATGAGGAAACCAACTCCCAGGAGCTCTCAGAAGTGTTTCTGCCACAATTTTTGTAATAATTTAACTGGGCTTTGCTGCACATTTTACTTTAGAGTCCTGCAGATAACAGAACTTTCTAAAGCTCATGTCCATTAAACATCTACCACATTGTTCTTGCATAGTTCAGTACTTAAGAGTTACCTTCACCCAGAAAGACTTAAGCTTACTCACAATGAAAAAGAATGGAAAAATAAAACACTACTTAAAATTGATCAAAACTAATTTAATCAAACTTGAAATAAATCTAAGCGCAGTTAGAGTTAACATGCAAACACCTTCAGCTCCAAAGTGTTGAAATGAGGAAAAAAAATGAACGATCCAAAAATCATTATCATACAGTCATACAGCTATTGCAAGCTGACAGTGCACTGCAGCAAAGAGCTTTGACAACAGAAGTTAATAAAGTGATGGATATAAAGGCTCAAATCGGAGAGAAAGGCAACCAGTTCAGCAAGAAGTGCTGCTCCTCTCAGTGATGCTGCCCTTCTCTGCATTTGACTAAAACCATCAGGAGGCTAGGTGTCTCCTGTCTTAGAAGAGTAAGGCAAAAGTGTTCATATTCCAGTCATCAAGCCAAGAATCAGCTCTAGTACCGCTTTAAATAAATAGTTTTAAAAGGAAGGAAAAGATAATCACTTCTATAAGTTTCTCAACCTTCCCTCATTCTTGGGGTATTGCACTCCTCTCCCAGTCTTACCTATTTTCTTTTTCTGCTGTCGGCCTGCTGATTCAGTTATCGTTTCCTTCTTCTTTTCCACTGCCAAGTGAAAAGAAAGACATCCCATCATTTCTGCACAGGGATACCACCACCCCTTTTCCACACACCAAACAAAACATTTTATTCCTTTAGCGAACAGGGGCACAAAAGGAAGCTAGGTATGACTAAGAACATATTCAGAATCAACAAGTTATAAACCACCAAGGCTGACTCCATCAAACACTTAATAATAAAAAAAATTCAAAACCCTGGATGAGATATCAGAATATTTAAAGGGTTAATTTTAAACTGTCAAGAGCCCATTACATTGTTAACTGAGCAGTCTGGGGACAATTTTGGCTCAAATGACCCTTGCTGATTTGTCATTAGTACTAGACAGTACTTTTGATTCAGCAAGTGTAATGAAAAGAGCTTTGTGGCAAGCTCTGCTCCTGATTATCTGCAGTGGGAAGCAGAATACAGGAAAGCCTGTGTTCTCATACATCTCTTCTTCACAGGCAGGCATTCTCAGGGGAAATGCTGTCCAAGCAGTCGGCCACGGTCTCTCCATTCTTCAATTAATTAGTACTGAAGCATTTCCAATATTTTAAAGTAGTAACTTTGGGCTTAGGCTCCTAAGACCCCAAATCAGACACTCACCAAGCATCTGCAAACAACTACCACTGCAGCAAAAAAGGCTAACAAAGCCAGCATAGTGAACTTATAACACAGTAAATGGGCTGCCCATCTGCAAATGCTCTTCTGCTGACAGCAAGAAGAGCTTTTCCAGAAAGTAAGAGACATTTTAATTTAAGACCTATAACAAGAGTACTACAACAACTAAGTACGATAAAGCATGGCTATGGTCTAACAACAGATGGCAACCCTTTGTTTACTCTAAACTCTATGTATCTGTACCATATCTACTCTACCAACGAAGACACTTGGCTCCTTGTTAGCTCACAGAACCAGCTTAGAGACCTGAGCATTAGGACTCTTCTCCCATAGGAGGTACTAGCTGAGCACAGATCTAGCCTTGATTTCAAAGCACAGGTGAAAAAGAGAGCCAGCCTTTAGAGTCACACAAAGACTTGTAGGGCTGGCTTCTGAAATGCCTGTGATATGCGAGTCAGTCACAACTGCTAAGAAAACCACACTAGCCCAGACAAGATACCTAAACTTCATCTCTTCCATGGTAATGTAGTAAGACACAATTGTTTGTCCCAAAGAACAAGCATACCTCTGCTGGGCAGGCTAGCACAAGGGGAAAAAACAGGGAAGCCTGCTCAGAGGGAATGCTGGAGAGAGGTGCCGGATGACACAACACACCCAGTGCTCGCAGAATGCTTTCTCCATAACCTTCCTTATGCCAAATCCAGCTGGGGGATCCCGAGCAGTCCATCCCAACCCTAGTCCACATAACCCCATGGCCCCCAACTCTAAACCAAACTGGAGAACACTTTGACTCTTTTCAGGCCTACCTATTGCTCCCAGCCCTAACAAGAGGGCTCCTCCAGACCCCAGCTTCACTCTGGACAGCACTATTAAGCCTTATGCCAACCCCAAGGAACTCTACAGCCCTACTTCCCTTATTGTTTGAGCAGAACAAATAACTGTCAGGCAGTCTGGGAACATACATGACAACACAGCAGCAGTTCTAGAGATAGCCTTCAGACTTGCAAATTTACCACTACATCTACCCCAGAACACTTACTATAAGCTCTGCAGCAGCCTCAGACAATGCTCTGTCTCTCAACAGAAAGAAGATGACAGGAAGAGATGAAACTAAGGACTATGAGTAGCAATGTCTGCTCAAGCACACTACTTGGCCCATTTGTTTTTGCAAATCCTAAGGATTGCTAGGACTCTCATGGGAGAGCTTAAAGATCCCAAATGTGTTTTTTCCTGTTTCAGATGTGTTAGATAACAGTTGAAAGGTGTGGCTCAAGTGGTCTACTTTGCAAGTTGTCTGTAAGCCATGAGGTCAGCCAGCTGTCCTTAGCACAAGAAGGGAAAAAAAAAAGCAAAGCTGAATTTTTAGTGACTCCTTATTCGGTTTAATTTTTTTTTGTTGGGGGTGGAGAAATCAAACAAGGAGGTTACAAACTAATTGAGATGCATGAATCTCACATCTTTCCCTTCACAGATTATAGCCTAGATACTAGGAAAGCTACAAAACCAGACAGCATTAGACTCTTACAGCAATCATTAAGCTCCAGAGATTAAGCCCTGCTAACTGCTTTTGGGGTTCCACAGCACAAACACACTAGGACGTTAACTCTAAGTTTTCAGCTGGGTTTCAACTACTTCTCTAACTTACTCTTCTGGGGCTAATTCTACCCTACACATTTTTGTCAGCCAAATGGGATTGAAGTGAGGCAGGCAGAGATGCAATCCCCATCTGATACTGCTGCAATGACAAAAGCCCCTAATTTAGGAGCTGTGACTATACTTCAACTTTTCAGTTTGTTTTGCCGAGGGGAAGGCTGGAATAAGCTAGACTGGAAAGAGCATGCTTTGATAACATTGTTCTCTCAGACACTAAGAGCGCTGACATCACGGTGAAATATTTTTAAGGTAAAACCATCTCAGGTTTGGCCCCAGTTGTTGTGTGCTCACTCTTACTGCTCCAACTTGTGTAGGGCGCATACAGCTGAGTTTGAAATGTCAGCTGCATTTGAAAGGTCAGCTGAATTTCTCCTCTGTTCCTTGGCTTCTGATACAGACAGGTCTATTGAAACACTCCATGTTCAGACCCTCCTGTTTACCATTCCTCTTAATATCCAATGCATACCTTCTGACTGCTCACCCTCAGCTCCCTTTTCCTCCCTCATCCTTTGTTCAACCCCTCCCAGGCCTCTCAGATCTCCTCTCTATGGAAGCAACCTGTGACTTTTTCTTAATCAATTCTAAATTATACTAGCGTAAACTGGAAATAAGTATTTTTATATCAGCTGATAGCTCAGATCTTTCTATCATGGCTTTGTCTTTACTCATCCCCCACCATTAATCATCACTTTTAATCTTTACATAAAATGCCTTCCTCTCATGGTATTCATTATTCAACCCTAGTTCTTTCTTACTACAGATCTCAAATTCTCCACTGTCCTTGAAAAGCAGAAACCATCTTTGAACTTGTTTCAGGCATCTAAAGGAATCTACATATACAGACACTGGCTACTCATGCTCAGAAAAAAAGATTCCAATACTGATCTCTTACTCCCTCCTGTCCTCCATTAAGAGGAGGGGCAATTCAGACAATGCAACACGTCTTTGTACTAACCTTCCTTCCAGCAAAAGACAAGAATTAAGGACAGGAATAAGTCCCCTCAGTATGGATTTGTATAACTTGTAAAATTAGGCTCCTATGAAATCCAAGCTGAAGAAAGTTCTCTCCCTTAGCAGACGAGGCAGTGGGAATTTCTCAGAGCACAGACTCTATTCAATTTGACATCTGCTAAAGCATGATATAACAAGAGCAGCAAGGCACATTCTCTAATGTCTGAAGAGTACTTACATTTCTTGCTCTGTTTTTCCACTTCAGCCTTTAATCTCTTGTATTTGTCTGTTCGGTATACCAGCACCCAAGTTATACCTGAAACAAATACTCAGCAAGTAACTAGATAAGTAAAGACCTCTTGCAATAATATGCAAAAAATACACATCATGTCTACAAAACCACCTTATAATATGTCAAAGGTACCACAAATCACCAGAAAGCTGTATCATCACTTTCCTTCAAATCAAATCACTTTCCTTCTCATCAAATCACTTTCCTTCTCAAGTTCCATGTAGCAATGGTGCCTATAAAATAAATGTCTTCAGAAGTTACCGGCTATCTTACAGAGCACTACTGTTTTGTGGGACTCATTCAGTTCCTTCATGCTCATATTTACCAGCTGTTGTTCACCATAAAACCAGGAGTTGATTAAGGCAATAAAAAACTTTGAGTTCTGCATTTTTACAGCACCTAATTAAGGCCTGGTAGGAACGGGAATTATTCCTCAGGACCTGCCCATTGGTAGCAGCACATTTTGAAAAGGCAAAGAGAGATATTAGGCTAGAAGAGACCTCAAGAGATTCTCCAGCCTAACTTGCACTCAAACGTGATCAAAATGAGTTGTGCCACAAGTGGAGAACCAGTAGTTTGTGAACAGTTTAATCTGAGCTCCTACACAAAGCTTTTGGCCCTTTTCTGGGCTTTAGTTTGACAACAGGACTGTGCTACTGAGACCCAGGGATCACCAGCTGCAGAGAAGGGAACCCTGTAGATGCTTCTGAGGTCAATGCAGCTTTGTGCTGTGAAAGGCAACAGGTGTGTACACCATCTAACCCCAAATGCAATGCAGTAGGGCTCCTAAAAAGCAAGTATCATATTCCACCTGGGACTCTCCCTGCCCTTGAATGCCCAAAGACAGTGTCTTGCAGCTCTGGTACAAAGGAGATTTTGGGGATATAGCTCAGCACCAGGAAAAGGGAGCAGCCTCTGACTTTGACTACCCCAAAAGGTATCTATCCAACCTGCCTTTAAAAAGCTGCACCTATTTCAGCACCCTCCATTCAAAAAACCTTTTCAAGCAACCAGTCTAAGTCACCATCACTACAAGTTCAGACAATGCCTTCACATCCTTCCCACAAGAGCTACAGAAAACCACCAGCGTCCTCTTTCAGGCACACTGAAAACCTTTAGCCCATCCTCCCACAGTCTTCCTCCTTCTAGACCCAACAAGGCCAATTCCCACCACTTTGCATGAGAGGTCAGTTTTGCTTAAGAGTTATTCGCTGCTGTCCTCCGGGGTGCCGACGCCGGCCTCCAAACACCAGGCCTCAGGTGGTGCCGAGCAACTGAACCTCGTTTCACACCCTCGCCGTCCTGCCTTCCCTCCGACACACGCCCTCCCTTCCGTTCCGCCCACCCTCCCCAGCGACCCCAATGCCGCCCTTTAACCCGCTCCCTCCCAGCGCTCGGGGCCGACGCGGCACAGGCGAGGAGCAGCAGCCTCCTGCCAGCCCCCTCCCGGCGACCCCCGACCGCTCC